GGCATGGTCCAGCAGGCAGTGCTGGGCTTACAGGCATGGTCCAGCAGGCAGTGTTCGTCAAACCCAGGACATTGTGCATGTTAGGCGATGCTGCCGCGGCTGGGCTATGACTCCCCCAGATTGAGTTTGCAAAGTTCCTTTTACTTTGCCTTAATCTCCCAGCCCTTCTTCATTCCACAAACTTTACCCACCTCATTTTAAGGATTTTATTTATTTATTTTTTGGATTTTCGAGACAGGGTTTCTCTGTAGTTTTTGGTGCCTGTCCTGGAAATAGCTCTTGTAGTCCAGGCTGGCCTCAAACTCACAGAGATCCACCTGCCTCTGCCTCTCAAGTGCTGGGATTAAAGGTATGCGCCACCACTGCCAGGCAAGGATTTTATTTTCTATTTACCTGAGATGAATTCAGAGAATTTTAACAGCCCAGAAAAGCACATGGGAAACTCCCAGACTAGTAGCTAGGCACTGAACACCTAGGCATTCGCCCTTCTAAATCTTCAGGTAGTCACTCACCATTGGTGCTCTGCTTCCTTCCACAGCTTCATAGCCAGTCATGGGTGACACTTTGTGGTGGGGGGTATGTTTGTGGGTATACAGATGTACACTCACCGCACAAGTCTAACTATAAATATATAACTAAAATGAAAATTTCTCATCTGGGCTGACAGCGTTCCTTCCAGGAACCAAAAGCCATCTGTCAAATCCCCCAACACTAGGCACGAAAAGGCTTTTGTTGAGTTGTAGTCAGGATTGCCCAGGAAACTCCCGAAACATTACAAGCGCTTGCTGTGACCAGTTAGCTGTGTCAGCGCTTGTGAAGGCAGACCTGCATCCTCTGCTGGGGCAGTTCCCGAATGTGGAGTCTGCTGTGGGACTTGTTGACAATACTGAAGCCAGGTATGATTTAATGCTAGAGTTAACCTTTTGGGTAATGTGGTAAGACAGTTTTGAGTTAAATTGATTCTAACCAGCATCATTAGAGCTCTTCACCATATCTCAGAGGGAAATTCAGCTAAGAAAGCATAGCTCCTAATCTGTTCCTCCTCTTCGAACCCTTGGGCCGTTGCCCTGATGTAATCAGGTACCTGGAACTGTTGCTTAGCTAAACGAAAAAATAAAATAAAAAAATAGCAGTCGGGCTGGTATTTTCACCTTTTGGCATTTGTTGTTCTCTCCAAGAAAGCAAAAAGGACAAGAGACCAGAAGAGACACGTATGCTCTATTTTAGAGCCTGCAGGTGAATGCATGCTGATCTTTGTACTCTGGCTTACGCCAGGAAGGTTCTCCCCAACCGTTGCATGGAGGGAAGGCCTCTGAGAGCCGGATTAGGTTTAGTTGGTGGAGGGTATGTGGGTGACGGAGGCCCAGGACTTGGGTAGCTGTTGAGTACCTTACAGGTGTGAGAGCGTTAGTTCAGAAGTGTAACAGCAGTCCACGATTAATCTCACACTTCAGCAAAATGTGCCTTTCATTAGCTTAGACTGGGTTAGGCCAGCTGAGGGATACCAGCGACTGTGGAGAAAATGCAAACACTGACGTGAACTCAGCTGCAGAGAGGCTTCAGAGAAATGGCCCCGCGTGGTCCGCTTAACACACTGCAGGCTCTCACCTCCCTCCTTCATACAGCTGTGTTCCCTTTGCCCAGCCTGCCTATTTTCTGACCTAGATCAACATAATTCATAATATTTAAGAACTGTTATGTGGGTATACAGAGAAAAAAATTCTTCCTTGCACATTCTCATTCTTGTTGATGGAGACACCAGACAAGGTAAGTAAAATGTATGTTTACTGACAAGTTCTAAGGAGACATGCTGGGAAGGGCAGGTGGGGAGGAAGGAATTACAACTGTGAGTATAGTAGCCGGGAAAGAGCTCAGTGAAAAGCTCATTTTGGGTTAAAGTTCAGGAAGGAGTGAGGAAGTCAGTATGTGGCACAGATTGAACATTTTTGTTTCAGGCAGTTGAGAAAGCATGGGAGCAACGTTGCTAAGATCTGTCCTTTCCTGCAGGAAGTGGAGCATTGTAAGCAAAAATAGGACATGTACTAACTTGTAAGTTCCTTGCTCCATCTCCACAGACGATAATAATAATAACTCAAGTGTTACGTACACAGGAGATAATAGTATAATAACTCAAGTGTTACATACACGGGAGATAATAACTCAAGGGTTACGCACAGGAATACAGGAAATGCTAGTTGCTAACACCAGATTGCCACCTTGGGAAACGGGCTGCTTGGAAGATGAGTCGGCAAGGGAGAGTTCAACTCTGTTTTGTCAGATACAGGTTTCGTTTCAAGTGAAGAATCAAAGATAAATGCACCAGTAAAACTCGCCTTCTGTTTTGCGGTGTAATTAACAAATGCCCACCAAGTGCCTGTTCTGTGCCTTGAATGCTAGGCATCTAGAAGAAACGGTGAACAAGACAGATGTCTTGATCTCAGATGACTGCATGCAATTGTGGGGAAGAAACAGGCTAATTATAGTCATGTCATAACTCGTTAGGGACTTGAGAGGAGGAAACGTTTGAATCTGGAGTCAAGGTCAGAATACACTGAGTTTGAAATGATCACTTCCAGAGTATAGAATGAGGTACGAAGGCCAAAGGGAGACAAACGTGGGGGAATGGGTAGTGATGGGCTCTCACGAGTGACTGTTGTATTCAGCTGCGTTAATATCCTTGTAAGTTATCTTCCTGATGACTGGGCTCGCCAAGAATAGAACCGATCCGTTTGGGGAGCTCAGGCATGTCCTTTTTGACAAAGATTAGACATCAGGATGAGAAGATAGCCAGAGGGAAGAGAAAGCAGTGTGATGCTGAAGGTTCCTAGGGATTAAAGGGTTCCAAATTCAAGAAGAATATGGGGAAGTGAGGCTGGTGTGGGCCAGAAGGATGCAGGCCAAGTCAAAAGAAAGGAGAAGTCATTAGAGTGCAAGCAGGGCCTAGAAGCAGATATTGCAATCAGGTGCATGCGATTGGAGGCAGATGAAAGGGCCGTAGGGCTTTGAGGTTGAGAGACAAGAGTGGAAGTGAAGGATCTGATGGGGTAGAAGGGTGTTTAGCAGATAGCATGAGCTTGCCAGCAAGTGGAATGACTACCCTGCGTTTTTATATTAACCATGGGCGGCCCTACACAGACACAGTTAATACTGAGATTGAAACTCCTGAACAACCCTTACTCTGAGATAAGAAGGTGATGGGTCTTAGACTTGCTGGGTTTTTCTGTAAGATGCCCAGCTGGGGTGCAGAGCAGCTCAGCTGTGGGGAGCAGGGTCCTCTGAGGAGCACCGAAAACCCCGAGAGTAGATGAGGCTCAGCCAACTCTGACTTAGGCAGACCTGCTGGAAGTGCAGACCTCTATCTACCGTGTTGAGAAGACAAGTCTCTCGTGGAAAGCAGTCTGTCTGTCCTGCTGTAAGTACTTCTGGAGTCAGCATCCCAAATAACCACAATAGCTCACACTCAAGCACTTCTGACATCTCCAACATACTTGACCTGAAATGTCTGTGTTGAAATCCCACTAGGTAGGTGCACAGATGTGATCCGGGTATAGAGTGTGTGATCACACTCAGATCGCCAACTGGCTCTAGAACTTGGGCCCTTGGGCCCTATTGTCGTCTCTCCCTGGTTCCCATTATCTACAACCCCCATACCCTCATCCCTTCTCACCCTGTCAGAATATCTTCTTGATAATGCTTTTGCTTCCAGTGGCTATTTGAGCAGGGAGCACAAACACTCATGACATGGTGTCTCCTTTCTTTAACATGTCATACCCAGCTCTCTTAAGGTGTTTCCATTACAACTTGGGATTAGGATAGCAGCAAGGTCTAGCTTCTAGATAGCCACCTGTCTTAAGCATGGGCTGCTGGAACAAAATACCATATTCGATAGATTAAACAATAGGAATTTATTTTCTCATAATCCGGAAGTTAGAAGTCCAGTTTGAAGATTCTGGTTAAGTCAGCTTTGGAAGAGGGTTCGAAGATGGCCAGCATCTCTGCTTGTGCACACATAGCCTTCTCAGCTACGGGGAATGAGGGATAGGTGAGGGCTTCCTCCCTGTCTTCAGGAAGCTCCTGTTCCCTGAAAATGCAGCCATTCTGGGAATCAGGACCTCAGCATATGGTTGGGGAGAGCACACCTATCACTGTGCCCACAATACTAACTTGTAATCAACTTGTAGTCCTCTGGCTCGCATATTGGCGGAGGAGATAGGAACTCGGCCACATCCTGCTGTCCCTGGGGAACCCCAGTCCTACGTAAAGAAGAACGATTGCTGCTCAGCGAACCCAGGAAATGGATGGAGTCATTCAGAAAGTGCTGGCACATGGGGCTCGCTCTCACTCGGTCTGCTTTCTGGATTCCAGCTCCGTGTAGGCCCAGTTATCTGAGACTGTATTCCAGAAGCATCTGTTGAAAGTCGCCACAGCCATGTTCTAGAGACATGTGTTCTAGCTTGTGTCTATCATAGCACCTTTGGCTGCCTTGGTCGATATTTTATGAAGGGGTCCCAATGGCTATGCATCATTGTGGCTATTGCTGATAGTGGCTTAGGAACCACAGGTGACTAACTTTGGAACCTGTTACTCAGTCATGCTCTTCTCTGAGAGGACCAGCCATTGCTTTTTCTTGTGGCCACAGAAGTCAGGTGAGCACACCCTGTCTGGGAGTCAGCTTTTCCCCTCAGCAGTGCTGCCTCAAGTCTGTATCTCAATTTAACCATCGTTAGCATTTGATAACTGTTCAGTGGGAGCATTGTTCAGACTGTTACACAGAGCTTGGTGATACCATACCCATTTCACAGAAGAGGCCACAGGACATAGGTTAAATAGTTCATACAAGATCATATGGCTTTTGAGAGACAAGTTGGCACGTAAAGCCAGAGGGTGAGAACGGAGTCAGGACTGGCTCAGCACACCACCTTCCAAGCTGGCCGCTGGGGTGTAGTAGAATGCCCTTCTACACAGTATCCCCACCCCTCCCAGTCCCCAGTCCTGAGCATGTGATTTTGGTATGCCAGCTAGGGGCTCGTGGTTTGCACGTCTATGCTCAAGAAGTCGCCTCTGCAACCATGTTGCCTGTGGATTAGCTGGTTTATCCTTACCGAAGGCTTGAAGATGTTTGGCTCTGCTTCCTATAACCTACAATGCTGTGGGGAGGTCATGGAGTGGGTTGTGCTAGCTAGAGCCTGCCGGCTTTGTGAGCAACCCCACGCCTGAGAGCTTTCCTGCCACCGCCTGCCACCTCTCCAGCTTCCTAGGATAGGGGTAGAAGGCATGGTGGAGAACCCTGCCTAGTCTGCCCGAGCCTCCTGTTCGGCCATCCAAACATGTCTGAAAGCCCTTATAAATGTTGCAGGATTCTCTGTGTGTATGCATTCGGGCAGGGGCTGATGTGCTTTTCCTGCTCCCATGACTCCAGCATGGTTGAGAATTAACTGGATTAGTATGTCAAATTCTTCTTCAGCAAAAACGTCTCCTAAGCTCAAGTGAAGTGAACTTTAAGCCAAGTAGCTCCTGGGAGTATTTTACACAGCCATGAAAATAACTTCCTGGCCTGGCACGGTAGCACATGCCTTTAATCCCAGCCCTCAAGAGGCAGAGGCAGAGGCAGGCAGACCTCCATGAGTTCCAAGCCAGTGCTGTGAGACCCTGTGTCAAAAATCAACCATCTACCTGGAATTAGACTGACTTTGAAAATAGTCAAGGTTGTCCCAGACCTGTCTCCTTGTCCTCCGTTACTGTGGTGCTCTCGGGACTGACTTCTCTCTGCTTAGGAGGAAGTGCCCTCTCCCCCTTTTAGGACCTACCTTCACCAAGCCCTGTCTCTGGTTCAGGAGCTTCAGGCCCAAGAAAGCTCTGAGAGCAAAGGTGTGAGGGAAGGACCTGCCTCGCAGAGAGGGTCTCCATGGGGTCCTGTTAGAAGGAATTGATTCAGCAGGTCAGATGGCAGTTATCCCTGGAGTCTGCCAGAAAACAAACAAACAAACAAACAAAAAACCACTTTCCAGAGCAAGTGAAATGCTGAGGAAAACCAGGGAGGAGGTGGTATGCTCAGACCGGCCCTGGCAGGAGAAGATACCTGGGGTCTAGGCCTCCTAGATAGACCGCTCATACTCCCTTTCCAAAATGGTGCAACTAATGATCGGTGTTCTCAGTGCTGGGTTTAATTTGACGAGTTTTTATTGTAGAAACATGATCCGTGGAGGTCTGAGGTGCAGACTCTCCCGTGCAGGACCCTGCAGCTGTGACCCTTTGCGCCTCCACTAGCTCCCTGGGCCCCTTCTCTTAAAGGAAACCAGGTACTTGAACCCGAGCTGGATGCAATGAACCCTTTGATTCCTCTATCGGATCCCCAGGGTCAAAGAGCAAGAGGGGTGGTAGCAGGTGCAGGGAGACAGCCATAGGGCTGGGGAGTCCAGTCCGGAGAGGCAGCTCCTGGTTAGTCCCTTTGCCATGCCTGCTGCCCCTCTGTGAGCAAAGCCAAGAACTCACCAGGCAAGCCAGGCTCCTGTGTCTGGCTGGGTACTCCTCTTTCTGGATGGTTTCCTGGCAGGACCCGCTGAAGAGGGTGGAAGGGGGGGACTCGACTGGGGAGTACTTTCAGGCACCTGGACCAGGACCCCTCACAAACCTCAACTGCTCTCCCGCCATCACTTATTCTCCAGGTCCAAAAGGATCTTTTAGGTCTAGGCGAAGTGTCCCAGGGGCCAGCGACTCTGGAGCCCACCCTGCCTTGCTCCTGCTGGAGGCTCTGTGAGACTAAGACCAAGTGCCCCCGAGGCCCTGATTCAGTCTGCTCTATACGGGCCGCGTCTTCCAGGGCGCACGGGCATCGCGCAGCGAGCGGTCGTGGGGCAGCGCAGCAAAGGCCGAGTGGCGCAGCTGGCAGCCGATGAAGAGAACGACGAGAGCCACGGATAGCAGCAGGAGGAAGAAGAGCAGCAGGTAGGTGGACAGGTCAGGCTTGGTGGCCGAGCCGTCCCGAACTCCACGTGCGGTGGCCAATTCCAAAGGCAAAGCACCCTCTGCCTTAACTGTGGCTCCGGGGGCCAGCGCGCCGCTTCCCGCTGCCTCCGGGCCGCTGGTGGCGTTGAACACGTCTCCGTACATGATCCGCGCGTCCCGCCGATCCTGGCGGGACCACCTCACTTCTGCTGCAGACCCGCGCTGCTCAGCGCCTCCATGGAGTTCCCGTCCCGCCGGGCCGTGCGCACCTGAGGAGGAATCGATGCCCCGCGGGCGGGGAGGCCACCGAGGCCACTGGGAGGGGGAGGGGTGTCCAGGTGTTCAGCCCAGGCTACCCCGGCACCTCAGGTGTTCCCTCTTCCGATTGTTGCTACCAGGACAGAGTCCTGAGCCCTTGGCCCATCTCGCGGTTTTTTTTTCTGTTGTTCTTCAGCTCGGGTGAGCTCCGAAGCAGTCCTGGGCTGCAGCAGCTGCTGAAGGTGCAGGTGAATGCAGCAGCAACTCTCTTGGGCTCTGCGCTGAGCTCGGGGTGCTCTGGGATCCTCCGCTTCCCCAGTCCCGCAGCCTCGGATCTTTGTCCAGACGCCTGGTGTGTAGGAGCCTGTCCTAACGCGCTCCCACCGCTGCTGCTGCTGCTGCTGCTGCTGCTGCGCTCCTGTCTGAGCTGGAGACTGAGCTCCTAGAGCCTTCTGTCCTGGGCGGGAGGCAGGGAGGTGACAGGATTTGCAGCACTGCCTTGAGAGAGGCTGCAAGCCAATGGATGTCCTAGGATCAGAAAGGAGGCAGCAGTGTGCCTGCCTCTCATCACTCACCTAAGAGGACACTGAGGAGGGGAGAGGGCGAGGGAGGAAACGGAACAAGGAAGGCTGGTAGGGGAGTGGGGCTTTAATTCCTCTTCCCAGTTGCTTCTCCAAGCCTCACACCGGAGACTGAACGAGCTGGGATTAGAAGCGGAGCCATTGCACAGTGGTTCTGGCAGCTGCTGTTCATGGCTAACTACAGGTTGAATACAGGGCATAGGCTTCAGGGTTCATGTCTAACACCGCGACCTAACAAGCATGTCTAACAAGCAGTGTGGCACCTCTGCTTGGAAGGATGTCACTTGCTAAGGTTGCACACCGGGGTTGTGGTGCAAGGGAGCCTGGGTTCAGTCCCTAACTACCTTTGGGGGATGGGGCACAACTGACTTATGACCAGCCACAGGCCATCAGGCAGAGCACTCAAGGGGTGAGCTGATTACTTTTTGTCAATTTGACACAAGCTAGAGTTATCTGGGAACCCCAAGAAGGAAACTGACTGTGGGTATGTCTAGGGGGGAGATTTTCTTGAATAAAGACAACGTGGGAGGTGTGCTGTGCCATCCCTGGGCGGGTGGTCCAGGTCGCAAGAGAAAGCCGGCTGAGCAAGCTATGGGAAGCAAGCTAGTAAGTGGTATTCCTCCCTGGCTTCTGCTTCCCTTCTGCCCTGACCTCCCTCAGTGATGAACTGACCAGGAAGTAAGCCAAAAGAGACCCGTTCCTTCTCTGGGCAGGTCTTTCTTGGTCAGAGAAGCAAACTAGAATGGGGGTGGCCTGAGCCAGAGACTAAGTGCCACCAAATGCCACCAAATGCCACACCTGCCCCTCCCCATCCCCTTCTGCCTTCCCTCTTTTATTATCCCCCTCCCCCCAGCCCAGGGTGTAGCCAGTTTGCATAGAGCCCCAGTGACTGGCTGCCCATTGCTTAGGCTGGGCACACCTGAGCAAAACGGGACTGAGGAGAGGTGGGACTGAGGAGAGGTTATTCACGTGGGACTTCTGGGTACTCAGGCTTCCTCATGAGTTGGTCCCTTGCTCAGCAACCCTTGCCTGCTCTGCTGTCCCATAAAGGGGCAAAAAGAGAGCAAGAGCTGACCACCGTCGGCTCAGATCAATAGCCCTGGGAAAGGCTTGGTGGCCACACCATAAGTGGGCAGTCAGTGGGACTGGGGGTCGGGGTGGCAAGTCCTGCCTTCATGCATGAGGTGAACACCCAGTTGCCACGCTCAGCAGGTGTGGGCTGCAAGGCTGGAGCTAGGCGCTGCAGGTGAGAGACACAGGACTGAAGTAGACCGTGGCCTTCAGATGTGCAGGGGCAGACACTTCTTCTGGTTTGCCATTCTAGACGTCTCTCCCACTTCTCACCCTACTGTCGGCTCTGCTACCCCACCCACTGTGGGGGAGAGTTTTACACAAGCAGCCACGTTCACGTCTGTGTCTCTCTGTTCCTATCTCCTCCCCACATGGAGAAGTAAGAGCCTCAGGAAAGCCTGGGCTGGCAGCTGAATGAGCCAATGGAAAGAGGAGCTAGCTCCTCCCCTCTCCCACTGCACACTGGGCTCGGCCACAGGTAGTACTACAAGAGTGGCCAAGGTGCGGCAGGTCAGAGGTCATCCTCACAAGCCCCTCTCTCCATGTCACGGAGACACCCCTTCACCCTGACTCACTTGACATGGTGGCCCCGAGGGCTGAATTGAACAACATGTATGGGATTCCGGGGAGACTCCCTGGGCCAGGAGGGGGGCATGTAGAAGTTAGGGAACAGCAGGACTCAGCACTGCCCACACCCACTCAGTTGCCACCCTTGACAGCCTCCGTCCTGGCAAGCCGCACATGTGTTTAAAGGACACGGGTCCCTGGGCCTCTACGTTTGGCTACTGCTTAGGCCAACAACTCACTTTTCAGATGGGAAAGCTGGCTCGGAGAGGTGCCAGAATTTCTCTTCGCTAGCCCAGGACACTGTAACTGGCCCAGGGTCGCAGTAGCAGAGGCAGGTGTTGCTTGCTCTGTAGGCCTGACCTATTTTGTAGTGCACTTGCATGGGAGGTGAAGTCCTACAGACACGCCAAGCCAGAACAGGCCTCCCTGGCACCTTACCCACACAGTGATCAGCCTCGGGACTGGTTGGAGGTTTGCTTCTGGATTCTTGTGTGGATTGAATGAAAGACTCGGGTGGCTAGGTTTGGGGCTTGGCCTCGAACTCTCTCCTAAGCGCTGTGTGGGAAGCGGTGAGGCTGAATTTGCCCATTTCTACTGAGTACCAGCCTGGCTAGACAAGTGGCCAGGCTTCCTACAGCTGTGTGAGCACCTCAGGTGTGAGGTCCTAAGTGGCACCCTGAGCAAGACAACGCCTTTGGGCTGTAAAGGGAGGCTGGATAGCAGACAGATGGCTAGTCCTTCTTGGGTTGTGTCTCTAGAATATGGCTGTGGAACATGGGTATATAAAGAAGAAGGCTTGGTGTGAAGAGAGGATCCCTTCCCTGCAACACCGCAGGCTCATGGTGGGGGCAAAGCATCTCTGATGCTGGCCCAGGCCCCCAACACCACTTGCTCCTCCTGTCTGTGCTGCGCAAGTCCTCCCACCTGGCACTGAAGGAGCTGGACCACCAAGGCCATGCAGATGACGTCACTGAGCTGTTCTCATGGCAGAGTGGTTCTGGTAGCTGCTGTTCGTGCCTCTATCCACAAACTGAGCACAAATGGCCTTCAGGGTTCATCTCGCACACTGCAGCCTGTGTTGGCACACTTCTGTACCTCTGTGCCCCCCAGGCAAGAGGGCGGGACCTAGGAGAGGGGTCACTTCCAAGGTCACACAGCTGGGTTGCAGGATGAGGGAGCCTCGAATGCCACAGCCTGGGAGTGTTCACCCAGTCTCTAAAGCCGCATGCTGTCAAGCTGCCTTTCCTCTTGACAAAGTTGGAGGGGTACCCTGCCCCTTTGGGGGAGTCCTCTGGTATTGATGAGGAAGCCTCAGTTTATTTTCTGAAAGATAGCGCCCCGAGAGGGTTGATCATGTTCCCTGCACATCCCCGGGCAGGCAATTGAATAAGCCTGTCACTGAGTAAATGCACAGATAGAGTTTGCACAGTTTTTTATGCAAGCCAGAGTGACCTTCCATTAAGGGTGCTTTGTGGACTCACACATTTAAGTCTTTGAAAGATTATAAAAGGGGGCTCTGAGGCCGCCTTTGACTGGCAGAGGTCACAGGGCTGTGTGCTCACAAAGACCTCTCTCCCATTCCGTACTTATTGAGTGGCATGTGTGCCTCTCCTGATGCCTGTCTGCAGAGACCCAAGGGAGGCGAGGTAAGGACGCCCTCCTGCCTTGACGACCATTTGGCAGCTGTTGAGTGGAAACTAGGGGAGCACTGATGTAGCGCGCCTACACTACGGGACTGTTCGTGAGCCAGGAAAGGGGCTGGAGGTTTAAATACACACACACACACACACACACACACACACACACACACAGAGAGAGAGAGAGAGAGAGAGAGAGAGAGAGAGAGAGAGAGAGAGAGAGAGAGAGAGAGAGACGGAGGGACACGGGTCATCCTTGAAACAAGAATGCCAACTTTATCGTGCACCAGGGAAGCTTATATAGGGATCCTTCACTGACAGTCACACCCCAGCTCTTGGGGTTTTCAGCTGTAAAACCCACCAGGAACCACTCCACTGCCATCAGGAACTCATGATGGTCTCGTGCTCAGAGCAGCTGCAGGCACAGGAAAACAAGTTGTTTGCTCACTCCAGCAGGCAAAGGGTCTGAGGCAGGCAAAGAAGTCAAGGGGCTAGGGGTCTGCAACCCCCAACACACTGAGCCCCAGGATTTTGTAAACTTTGCTGAAACTGGTGTGGTGCGTGGCGAAGCCATTTCTGTTTCTTCTAAATGTTTGAAGATCACTATGAAACCGCTAATGTCAAACAGGCTGGGGGTGAAGAGGCTTCCTGTGTATGTGTGTGTGTATGTGTGTGTGTGTGTGTGTGTGTGTATGTGTGTGAGGGGGTGGGCGGGCTCATAGTTCCCCTCTGAGTGATGAAGATACATACCCTGCTTGCAGAACATATTTTTGGTTTGGGGATCGGTTTTTATTTTTATTTATTTATTTATTTTGGAGACAGGTTCTCTATGAGTAGCCTTAGCTGTCTGGAACTCGCTCTGTAGACCAGGCTGGCCTTACACTCAGATCCACCTGCCTCTACCTCCCGAGTGCTGGGATTAAAGGCGTTCACCACCACCGCCCAGTTATTTTTATTTTTATTTTTTAACTGCCTTTGCCCCTGCATCTGAGTCAACCTGAGGACAAAGAGGAGGTGCCATGTTTCCGGCATAGTAAACACCCCTTCTGTGGGATCCCTCTCACATCCGGCATGCCCATTCTCCCAGCCCATTGCCTAGTCTCATTAGGAAAACTGCTTCATTTCGGAGTCTTGGGGGCATTTGTTTTATTTCCTAAAATGATCATTCTAAGCGGCAGCTAGGTCATCAGCCAGTACAGTTGTCGAGATCATAAACCAACAGCTAATGATTGGCAGCCATGATGATTTGGTTCCTCTGGGGGCAGCTTCAACAATGTGGAAGTAACTGCAGAGTGATGTTTCTTTTTCCACCCCTTGTTTTCTCTTGATAATAAAGAGAGGAAACTCCGATGTGATGCTGTTTGTGGGGACCTCTGAGAAGCATGGGGGTCCCATGATGAATGGGCTGTTTAGGTGCCAGAAGGCACCAGGCAGTCACTGCTCTGGCGTGACTCTGGAAAGGAGGGCCCAAGAGGAACCGTAAGAAGGCACCGGGCAGTCACGGCTCTGGCGTAACTCCAGAAAGGAGGGCCCGAGAACCGTTTGAGACTAAAATGCCATCAGTCAGGCCTGCGAGGAATTCCCAAG